AATTTTCAAAATCGGTCCACATTTGATAGAGAAATAGGTAAGTACTATAATCGAGGGCTGTAGCTCAGATGCATTGCGAGAGGTATTTCTATAAACTCAAACTATAATAATCTTCAATTTTATACTTTATCTCACTTTTTTACATAATTTTGGCGTAGGGGTTACGAAACAATCCATCTTAATATGTATGTCAAGACCTTTCCTTGTTTTCTTAGCGTTCCAAATACAAAAACTATAATTATTATCTATGTTCAGCCAGCAATTCTACTCATAGAGTACAGCCTCGTCTACATCCCTCTTCCTCACAGCTGAAGGGGCGAATATCCCTAGCTGATGGTCTACCTATGATAGGCAACTTACATCTGCGATCAGCCTTTACTACAGGCTAGCCACACACTGCTCGGAAGTCACTAACTTACCAACAAGTAAACCACCGAGGAGGCTATGGCTTTGGTCTGCCAAAAACCTATCTAAAAGGACAGACCATGATCACATCCTAAACAAACAAAAAAAATATAATTACTCGTTAGCTATCCTAGCTAATTAGGGAACCTGACTAAACCCTAACACTTTATTTTATCGACCCTAAACTGGCTGAACGACCCTAATAAAAATTCTAAACATCACTACAAGTTCCTAACTATCTCAGCCTAAGCTATCTCCAACGTGGATGCTGCCACAACGACGACACAGGCTTGAACACCCATCGGACGATCACTGGATTACATCACTATTGATCTCCCAGCTGCCTTAGTCCTCATTTTGCAGCTATCACGTTCCATCAGCTTCACTTACAATCTTTAAACAAACAAAAACCAACCCACGTATAACGTCAACAACATATTCTAACTACATATTTCCAAGACACATATGGTATGAGGGTATACCACATGAAGAATTTCTAATAATTAAATAAATATATTTTCCCAGAATGCAGACAGTCCTTGATCAACTGGAGGATGAGCATGAACTATTCGCACATACAGGATAATATATCTATCAAATTGAAAAAGGAAAACAAAAGTAAATTTTATCTATATGATGGTGTATCTTCTCCTCCTTTCCTTCCAAGTCTGCATGTACAGGAAAATATTAATTTTTCTCCAAATATTTCTCATAACGTCAATGTGGTCCCACATGAAAAGTAAACATAAAAGATTAGATAACCTAATAGAAAACAAGAAAACATTAAATTATCTCCTAAGGAACTTTTTCATCCTATTCACATGGACTATATCCTGCCTACACAATCTATTCCTATTTACATCTATTTTTCTTACAATATAATTAACCCTACTTAATCGACCTACCACTCTATACGGCCCTTTAAATAATCTAGCTAATTTCATACTTCTATTAGAAATTCTCCTAGGACAATATAACATTATCAAGTCCCCTGGCTGATACACAACCATTTTTGCCTTCTTATCATAATTCCGCTTCTGTTTTATCTGCGCCCTCACTATTCGTTCCTTAACTACATCAATCAACGCTGCTTGTTTTGCAATTTTATCTTGCAGGTTCTCCGCAACATTGAGACAATTAATCCCTAATTCCATATCTGACGCACATAAGGATTCTCTACCGAACAATACCATATATGGTGACACCCCGGTACTGCTATGTTTGCTAGAATTATAAGCAAAACACACCAATGGTAACATGCTACACCAATTCCTTTGTTCGCTTCCTATATATTTCGCTAACATTCCTAACAGCGTCCTATTAAATCTCTCACATAAACCATTACACCTGGGATTGAATGCCGTAGTATGCACCATAATCGCTCCAAAATCTCGCGCTGTCTCCTCTACCAAATGAGAAGTAAATACCGATCCTCTATCGCTTAAAACTTGTTTTACTCCGCCGTATCTACAAAATATCTCGGACACCAAAAATTCACAAATTGTTTCCGCTGTCACCCTGGGTACGGCCCTGCACACTACATATTTCGAAAGATATTCTATACTCACAATTATATATTTATTGCCTCTATCTGAACGATTGAATGGGCCTAAAACATCAATTCCTACACGCTCGAAAATATTATTCACGGGAATAGAAACCAATGGTGCAATCGTTTTATTTATGTTGCGCTCCTGACACAACTGACAACTTTTGACATATGACTCAATCTTTTTTTCAGCATTCACTATGAAATACCTCTGTCTAAACCTTGAAAAAGTTTTAAACAAACCAAAATGTCCGCCCGTCCAAGGACTATCATGGAGTTCCTTCATACATTCCGAAAATAATTCCGACGGAACGACCACTAAATCAACTAAAGTTTGATTCAAACTACACTTCTTAAAAAGGATTCCATTCTGTAAAAAGAAGCCTCGATAATTATCACCAACACCTGAACGAATACAATTAATAATATTTCTACAAAATTCATCCGCCTCCTGTTTACTCTGGACATCATTCGCACGTAAAACATATAACCTTAACTCGTCTCTCTGCTCCGGTATACGCTCCACTCTCGACTCTACGTCCTCCAGCAACGGATTCCTACTCAAGAAATCTGCGACAACGTTGTCCTTACCCTTGCAATAAACAATATCGAAATCCCAACCTTGAATCGATAACGCCCATCTAGCTAACCTCCCACTCATATCTCTCTTACTTTTTAACCAAACAAGCGCCCGATGATCAGTAACCACCTGAAAACGAAGTCCCCACAAATAACTTTTGAAATAATTCAACGCCCATATAAGCGCTAAACATTCCTTCTCTGTAACAGAATATTTCTTCTCCGCTTCACTTAACTTCCTGGAGGCATAAGCTATAGGTTTCAACTCTTTCACACCTTGCATTAAACAACTTCCAATCGCATAACCACTGCTGTCTACATATAACCGCGTCACCTGTTCACTATCTGACGAGAAATGTCCTAAAACAGGCGCCTTGCAAATCCTATCTTTTAACACTTCAAATGCCTCCTGCGCCTCCTTTGTCCAAACAAACGCCTTGTCCTTTTTCGTCAAATTCATGATGGGAAGCGCCAATCTAGCAAAATTATCAATAAACTTTCGATAATAAGAGAACAATCCTAAAACCGCTCTCACTTCTTTCAGACTAGATGGAGGATTTATCTCCTTCATCGCCGCAACTTTCCTACTATCCGGTCCTATTCCTTCGGCCGACACTTCGTGTCCCAGCACAGTCACCTTCTGAAAACCGAAACGACACTTAGATGGTTTTAAAGTCAAATGCGCATTCCGCAAACGAATCAAAACCTCCTTTAATGCAATTTTAAATTCCTCAAAGGTACTTGCATATACCAATATATTATCTACATAGACTATCACATTACGATACTTCATTCCCGCTAACACTTTATCCATAGCTCTTTGAAACACCGCTTGACTTGTTTTCAAGCCAAAAGGTAACACATTGAACTCATATAGGCCGGTATGTGTAACAAAGGCAGTTTTTTCCTTCCCTTTTCCTAAACCTAACTGCCAATAACCCGAGTTCATATCTAAATCTGCAAAATACTTTGCACCTTGTAAACAACTTAACAAATCATCTACTCTCGGAATAGGGTATGAATCGTTTTTAATTTTTTTATTCAAGGCCCTATAATCAATGCAAAATCTCGGTGGCCCTTCTGGTTTATCCACTAAAACTACTGGTGAAGCATATGGACTTTTTGATTCCTGAATTATGCCATATTTTAACATTTCCTCTACTTGTTCCTCAATAATTTGTCTCTGTTTAGGGGAGACACGATATGGCATTTTATGCACCGGTTCCTCATCGGAGGTATTAATTTCAACTAATGAGTGATTATAACACCCTAATTCGCCTGGCGCAAAAGAGAACGTATCGCGAAACTTTAATAACAACTGCTTTAATTCATCGCGCCTTTTCTCCTGTAATGCATTATCAATATTAAATTCTATTTTTTTCCTATTCGAAACATTAAACATATGGTCACCATTCGTATCTAATAAATTAACGAAATATAAATATTCAGATTTGTTTAATGAAAAGGTTTTATGACTTTTCAAAATTGGTTCAATAGAACAACAGTTCTTTCTCCTTGAAGTGACGTCAGAGACAGAATTGAAAGGAATTTCAACATTTCTTTTTAAGATTAGCTTCGAGGCTGCAAAATCAATTACCGCACCATTTACCGTTAGGAAGTCCTGTCCCAAAATAAGGAGCTCATCACCATCATCTACAACAAGCAGCTTTGACTGATATTTGTTTCCTTGTATTACCAACGAAACATTGGTGGACGCTTGTACAATTATTCGCGTACCACCTACTGTGCGCAAAGGAAAACTCGGCGTTTTTTCGAACTGCAAATTCAATTTATCTGCAAACAATTGTGAGATTATTGACAC